TTTTTAATGTATTTGGTACAGGGTTGGTTTTTTGTTGTTTTTTTTTTGGTACAGGGTTTTCATTAGGAGATTCTGTGGTTTTAATTAGGAGATCCACTGCTTCTAAATTCTTTATTATGCAGCTTGGACTTGTAGTGATCTTTCTGTTTTTAGCCTCCCCAGCTCTGGGATTACAGGCATGCACCACCTTGCCCGGACTCAGTGGCTGGCTCAATGTGCCCAAGGGCAGGGCTGGCGCAGTGTGTTGTGCCGGGGATCCAACCCTGGTCCCTGAGCTTTCCAAAGCAGGTGCTTAGTCCAATGAGTTATATCACCAGCCCTTGATTTTGATTTTTAGAGCACATTTTACCTAAAACTATTTGCTGATTTGCTGAAGATGATCAATTACTAATAGTTTCTAATATAGAGAGAAATCTCACCAGAGAGTGCAATTAGAAAAAATTACTCTTCATGTCATTTGTATCGCCAACTGGCACAAATGGATTTGGGGCCTTTGAAGTGCTGATTGTTGTGCTTGTCTGTGGGTAGAGTGAGGAAAAAAGCAGGTGGGGTCCCCTCTAGAGAGTAGTCCTCTGGGAAAGATAGATTGTAATTGTCTAGTCCCTCAGAAAAGCCTTATTGTAGCTGGGATGGGGCCATCACAGAGAGCTGTTGCTCTGGAGAGGTCATGTGACAGGCTTAGCTTGATTATGGAAGACACAACTCTGGCTGTGCGAAGGTGAATGGGCTTCAGCTCTGAAAGAGGGGAGGAAGGCACAGGGCTCCTTTGTATGAAGGACACAGCATATAGTCACATGGAACAGAAGGAAAGCTGGCCTGGACCAGGAAAGCCTGAGGAAGAGCTGTGTGCCACGCCCTCCCCCACGGAGTTGCACTCCAGCTCCTGTTCGTTTTAGTGTCCTGAGAGCCTATCTAATAAGAACTTCACTTTCCTTCTCCCTTTTTCCTCAGGTGGTTGGGATCCACATGCAGGGAATTGGTTGTGATGAAATGCTGCAGGGTTTTGCTGTTGCAGTAAAAATGGGAGCAACAAAGGCTGACTTTGACAACACTGTTGCCATCCACCCTACCTCTTCAGAGGAACTGGTCACCCTCCGCTGACCACTAGAAATTCAAGCAGCTGGCATTTGGACCAGGACACCTGAGATGAACCAGACTATTGTGTTTACTTCCTATTCTCGTTTTACACATTTCCTTATTTTAATCAGGATCTTCCAACAGTGGAAATTTTTGGTAAAGAACAGAACTTATTTATGTAATCAGAAATGTGTTGTTTTAATCTAGATTGATTTTTAGTTGATCAGATCTCATGGCAGTGTTTTAAAATTGTATTAACAGTTCTCTACCAGTTGATTTTTTTGTTGTTGTTTTAGCCTCATCCCAAATATAAAACTATATGAAGTACAATGAAATTCATGTACTGGAATGAATATAGCATGCTAGTTTTTATAGAGGAAGATAGGGACAGATCTTTATATTTAAATAACACAAGTACAAGAATCTTTTATTTTTTGAAGCTAATACTATGCTCTGCATGTTGCAAAGCTGCTTCAAGGATGTGACCTTTAATCTCCTATTTTATTTTTATTTGTTTTAAATGATTAAAAATCGGTTTGTATTCTTTTCCAGAGATGAGGTGCATAACCTCTGGAAAGATTTGAGAAAGCTGTCTAAATATCTGAGACAGTCTAGGAATGGTTCATGCGTTCAGAAGAAGGTAGATTCGCATACTTAAAAAGTTCCTTCCTCTCTCTATTCACGGTTCAGTCAGTAATTTCAGCATATGTATGTGTTCCTGTCATTTTGTTTTCTTTTGAAAGACGTTCCAAAAATTTGCAAAGCACAGTCTTTTCTTCTTATAAAACTTATTTTGAATTTAATACCAGTTTATGTTGTAAGAATACTTTATATTGACAGATCAAATGCCAACGTATATATGAGTGGTGTCTCTTCAAACTGAAGGCCTGAGTTGAAATTGAAAAAAAACCCACTCAGTGGATTAATGGTTGAATGGTTGAGTTAGAGGAACATCCTAGAAATCACTTAGATGTTAGCACTTCATTTCCATTGTTTTTATCAGCTAAGTAAGCCACATTTTCTGTGGTTTTCATTAGGAGATCCAGTGCTTCTAAATTCTTTCATTTAGGTTTTTCCTGAATACCTTTCTGGGTAGTGGTAGCCAGGTGCTGCACTAATTTCTTAAGTAGACGTAGGGCCATTGAAAGAAAAACATCGGGGCTGGGGAGATAGCTCAGTTGAATAAGCGCCTGCCTGGCAAGCACCAGGGCCTGAGTTCAATCCCCAGCTCCACCAAAAAAAAAAAAAAAGAGAGAGAGAGAAAAAAAGAAAAACATCACAGTAGTAACTAGGCTATGTGTCAATGGAGTGCTGAGAAAAGAGACTCCCAAGTCCTGGACACTGACTAAGGCAGCTGCTCTTCCCATCAGCTTAACAGATAGTGGCTGAATAGCCTGTGTTACCCTGAGCACTGGGGAGTGCCAAGAGGGCAAGGCAATGCGGCACATGATGTGAAGCTCATGGTATGTGTTTGGTAGGTAGATACTGAACGGTGAGAACACATCTACACAAATGATGATAAGGTAATTAAGCACAGGATAGCCACATGATTTATTGACTAAAATTGGACCATTTCAGATGTAGGACTATAGCATATAGGTATAGTGCTTGCATAGTGAGCTTGATCTCCATTGAGAGACAGGAAGAGAGAGGGAGGGAGAAGGAAACTAAAAAGAGGCCCTTTTAACAACTGGAGGAACTTGGGTGGAGTGGAGTGCATGTTGAGGACCCCCTTGGTACAGCCCCAGCACTAGAGGCTGGAAAGAGCTCAGGGTCTAAGCGCCTGCCTGGCAAGCACAAGGATCTGAGTTCAACCCCAGCACTAAAATCAAGGTGTCTTTGTGTGTGCATATATATGGAAAATATACATGGAACTGTCCCAAACAAGTTATACATTATTATGTAGAATGCCTTATTGCTGGGGAAATCAGGGACAGCTTCAAGAAGGGGATTATGTAGGATTTGAAATGGGCAGACTCTAGGAGAGAAGGTAAAAGATGAAGTACAGTGAAGACAGGAGTGAGTAAAGCATACTGCTGCAGAGCGAACTATCTGAGAACTTAGAAGCTGGGGAAAGAGGTTGACTGCGTTCCAAAGAACAGGTCCTCCTTTCCGTCTGATTGTTAAGGTGCTCCTTTGCTGAGGTCATCCCTTAGTGAGTGTGGACCCAGGGCACAAATATTGGCATGTTTTCACCCATTCAGAGAGGTCTCTTCTCACCCTTTCCTGACACTTCCTTGTCACCAGGTTTCTGCTCCCTGACAGCCTGTGAATCACTATGTAGAAGCAGGCACATTTGGTCCCTTCTAAGAAGACTGAACAACTGGGAGGATTTCCCCTCCCCACTGTGCAGTTTCCACCTGGAGGGGCTACAGTGCTGCAGCCCTTCAGTTGCTGGCTGTGCATATTCTGCAGAAACACCTGAAAACCAGGTTCTTCCTTCAGCAGATTGTAGGGAACATTGGAAGGCATTGGTGCCCCTGCAAGGGCTTGAGCCTTTCCCTGTGACTGACTTGTGCTCTCAGCATCAGCTCAAGCCCAGGGTCCTACCACTTCCCCTTGATGGTGTACCCAGCTTTGTGGCTGGGTGTATCAGATCACCCCCCTCTGTGGGCAGCTCAGGTTTCACGGGATCTTGGTGGCCCATGATCAGCGTTTGCCCTCTGCTAAGGCCTAGTGGCAAGCCAAAAGTTGTTTCTCTAAAGAACAGTAGCTATCCACAGAGGATGTAGAGCTTTGCTCCAAAATCCTAAGGGCTTGCACTGTAACACACATCAAGGGGCCTGTCTGAGCCTCCAGCTTCTCTGACAGCAAGCACCACAGATCTGCTGGGATGTGTGGCCCACGTGGTACAGCAGCTTGCTCAGCAGCCTCCACTGATGCGGACCTTGCTTTTTTGCTGGACCCCACTCAACTGTCAGCTTCTCAGGCCACTTGGCGAATGGGTTGGTGTGGTGCATCAGAGTGAGACTTGCTGCCAAAATCTAAAAGGGCCTGCTGGGTTCTGGGTCTGATCTTGCTGTGAGAGGGCTGGGAACAGCAGTATATCCTTCACCATCAGAAGGGTTAGCACCACATCCCTCCAACCACTGGATCTATAGGCCTTCCACTGACACAGAAGGCCCTCCAAATGTTTGAATTTGTTTCCTACTCCCTAGCTTGTGTCTTATCAATGAAGTTGTTGCTGTTTCTTCTCTAGATCCACTCAGGATCATGTGTCAGTGGAGCAGGCCAACATGATAGAGGAGGGAAAAGGCAATCAAGATCCTTTCAAGTTGGTGCTTGTGCACAGGCCTTGTGGAGTCTGTGGCTTAGCTCGGTGGAGCTGGTCAGGATGATCACTGATGTGCAGCTCGCCATGTTCGCCAACATGCTGGGCGTGTCGCTCTTCTTGCTTGTCATTCTCATCACTACGTGGCCATCAACAATCCCAAGAAACAGGAATGAAATTGGTGCTTTCTCTGCCCCAGGGTTCCAGGACTTAGGCCAGATAGAGGGTGTGAGGGGCCTTCACATTTTACTTCATCCCTTCTGCCCATCACAACATACAAAGCAACTACACCTAGAATTTTCCAAACAAGTTTTATTTCCTCAAAGTCTTCTTAACTTTATGGAACAAGAAGCTGCCACTGAATAGAGCCCAGTATGGAGGCTCCTTTCTTTTCTACTCCCTAATACAAATACAAAAAAAAAAATTTTTTTTTTAAATTGTAATTTTTTTATTGGAAAACAAATATACAACTTGGAATGGATTTGAGGCAAATTGTGCCATAAGCAGATTTTTTTTTAAGTGGCTAAACAAAGTTTAAAAAGCAAGTAACAATAAAAGAAAATGTTTCTGGTACAAGACCAGCAGTACAAAAAAATAGTGTACGAGTACCTGGATAATACACCTGTTTTGCAATAGTGCAACTTTGAAGTACATATTGTTGACTGTCCACAGCCACGCAGTTACAGCTCCACACTTCAACAACAACATGCTGACATGTCCTAGGAAAACTACTTTAAAAAAGGCATAACCAGATGTTCCCTCATCTGACCAACTCCATCTAGGTTTAGATGTGCAGAAGGGCTTAGATATATCCAGAGTGAGCCACATGCAACATGTTACTTGATCAATTTTCTAAAATAAGGTTTCAGGACAATGACAGTAAGATAAGGGAAGAAACCATGGAGGAATGAAGTCCTAATTACTATACATGCATTTTTTTTTGACAGTAGGGGGAAACCTTTTACAGATAAGTTACAAACAAAGAAAAGGCAAATAAACAAATTTGTACAAGAAATTTAACACATTCTGTACAACGTCTTCACTTTGCTGTCATCATTTGTACAAACTCTTCATAGTTTACTTGGCCATCACCATCAATATCTGCTTCCCTGATCATTTCATCAACCTCTTCATCTGTTAACTTTTCTCCAAGGTTTGTCATCACATGGTGAAGCTCTGCTTCACTAATATAACCATTGCCATCCTTATCAAATACACGGAATGCTTCTCTAATTTCTTCCTCACTGTCTGTGTCTTTCATTTTTCTTGCCATCATTGTCAGAAATTCAGGGAAGTCAATTGTACCGTTACCGTCCGCATCTACTTCATTAATCATGTCCTGCAACTCTGCTTCTGTGGGATTCTGCCCCAGAGACCTCATTACAGTTCCCAGCTCCTTTGTTGTTATAGTTCCATCACCATCCTTGTCAAATAGTGAGAAAGCTTCTTTGAATTCTGCAATCTGCTCTTCAGTCAGTTGGTCAGCCATGCTGCAAGCGCTACTGGTTTCCCGAGACGCGAACACCAAACCGCTCAGCTCGCTCGCTCCACTCGGACTCAAAAAAAATTTTAAAAAAAAAGAAAAAAAGATCCTTGTCAACAGAGCTGGCATGATGATACATGTGTAATCCCAGTACTTTGAGAAGCTGAGGCAAGATCGCTGTGAGTTCGAGGCTAGCCTTGCCTACGTAATGAGTTCAATGCCAACCTCAACTACATAGTGAAGCCTTATCTTAAAAAAGATCTGGGGGCCGGGGAGATGGCTCAGTAGGATAAGTGCTTGACTGGCAAACACAAGGATCTGAGTTCAATCCCTGGTTCTGCTAAAAAAAAAAGATCCGTATGAATTAAATGACAGGCTGGAGAGTTGACATAACCTGAGATACGACAGTGAAGGTGTATTTCTGATCTTGTCGCTGAAATCAAACTTTCTGGTGGCGTATATTGATAAACATGGGAAAAGGGCATTTTCCAGGCCAACAACTGCATGCCAGCTCCCCAGAGAAGTGTTGATTGGCTCTAACAACGAAACCATACCCAGTACAGCAGCTGCAATTGTAGTCACCACCTCGTTAAACCTGTGATGATTCGTGTCACTTTCCAAGCTCCATCTGTCTTCTGTACAGGCTAAATAGGCAAGCTGAATGGTGATGCAATGGAAATCACCCCTCTGCCTTTCAAGTCCTTGGTGGCACCAATTTTGCAAATCCCTCTAAAGATGCAGTATTGCTTTGGGCTTACTAATTTTCTAGTTAGAAGCAATTCTAGTGCCTTCTATTTGGCTTTTTCCAATAAACCTTACTCCAGGTGGCAGGGGGACCAATGTGAATTCTGCAGCTGCCTAGCAGGTCTTTATGCAATTCTTGGGCTGGGGTATAGCTCGGGCACAGCTCCTGCCTGGCAAGCACAAAGTCCTGAGTTTGATTCCCTGGTACAAAATTTAAAAAGAAAGTATGCAATCCTGAAATGCAGATAATTACAGGATAGGTTCTAGGGCCCGCTGGGCTCACTGAGGTGGACGTCAGCTAAAACCT